AAATTAACCAAAAAGTTAAAGAACTATCCTCATTCTTGTATATTTTATTTTAGAACCATCCTTTACATTTTGTTTACATTTTGTTTTATAGTGGCAAAAATTATACCTTACATTTTATTTAAGAGCTATCCTTAAAATCTTATTTTAGAATGGTAAGACCTATCTTTACATCTAATTTCAGAATGGTTAGAACTGCCCTTTACATTTTATTAAAGAATGACCAATAAGATTCACCGATTTCAGTTTGCAATTCTAAAATGACCAGTGAAAATTCTTTTTGTACTCAGTCCTTCCCTGTCAATTCTACCAGAATAACTGATAACAGACGGACTTCGTCCGAAAAACTTATTCTTTCTTCGTCTTTTCCTACGCTCTGGAGACTTGCAAATGTAAGTCCTATTTAAAAAATATATGATCCAACTCCACTAACTCATTGTTAAGCTGTATCGGAAAAATGATTGAAACATGTGTCCATAAGTATCTGTGCAATCATTTTGTCCCTAATTATTAACTTACTACTCACCATTCAGGTTTTATAAATGGTGACTCAACAGTGAATCAATTAGTTTACCTCTACAATGATACTTGTCAAGCTCTCGATCAGGGTTAAGGTTAGGGCTGTACTTGTGAAGTCTCAAAGGCTTTTGATCGAGTTTGGTATCAAAGTCTTTTTTACAAACTATCTTCATTGGGTGTAAACGAATCGCTTCTTCGATGGTTCTCCTCCTATTTGTCTTCCAGGCGACAAAGAATCCAGTACCGAAATGTACATGGGTTTCCATCTCCGGAGGTATCCTTCAAGGTTCAATATTTGGTTCCCTTTTGATTCTTGTCTTTATCAACGACATGGTAAATGACATATCTGTTAACATAAAACTTTTTTTGCGGATGACACAAGTTTTTATATAGTCGTAGATCACCCACTTACCGCAGCAACCAGTCTTAACTCAGACTTGGATCGAATACAATCTTGGGCCAATACTTGGCTTGTATTTTTCAATCCAGATAAAACGAAAACAATTCTAGGAAACCATCTAAACTGTCTCATCTGACACTTAGTTATAACAATAAAACAATAGCTTACGTCACATGACATAAGCATCTTAGTGTAACTTTATATCACTGTGCCCGTTGGAAACCCATGTTCATCTATTACTTGATATGGCCTAGTAAAGAATTGGACTACTCAGAAGTTTTAAATTTCTTTTACCACGAATAAGTTTCGAACGCATATATTGTTAATTCGGTTCCCTACTTCTTGAATATGCTGATGTAGTATTGGATACTTTAACCGAAGAAGTAAATAAGGAAATAAAATCCAGCAACAATAGTCGCAGTCGCTACGAAACTACATAACATTAACAAATGGATGGGAATCGTTAGAAGGTAGAAGCAGCAAACAGAAATAAAGAAATAAACACAAATAAATCTTATTGTATAACATGAAAAAACAGATATCGCCTTCTTATCTTTCAAATCTTCTAACTCCTACCAAACTAAGTACATATAACCTTACACAAATTGATTATTTAACTCCAGTTCAGACGAGAACACATTTATACTAAAAATCATTTCTACCATCTACTATTCGTACCTGGAATTCTTTTCCTGAAACACTTCAATCTAGTCCAACTTTAAGATCTTTCAAGTCCAAAATAACTCAGAAAATCAAAAGACCACCGTCTTACTATAATACAGGCACACGTAAAGATCAAATCCTTCACACAAGATTAAGATTAAGATGTAGTTTATTGAATGAGGATCTGTTCAAAAGGTTTATTGTGGATAGCCCGACATGCATTTGCGGAATGAGGGAAACTGTATCTGAATGTGTATTACCTTTGCAATGTACCCAAAACAGAAATATACCAAATACAGAAATATACCCAATACAGAAATATACGTCAAAGATTTCCCACTTAATTTAAATTGTCCAGCTACAGTAAATAACAGTCTGTATGGCAACGAGCATCTCTCTTTCGATAAAAACAAAACCCTCTTTAAGTATGTCTAAAAATTCATTACACAATCGAAGCGCTTTTTGTTAGAATTACTAGCATTGTGAATAAACTTGGCCTTTCGTGCTCTCATATTTGTATACATGCTAATCTTAAGTATTAAATTTCGGATATATTCAGTCATGAATTTCCTTACATTCTTCCTTTCTTCTAGCATTTCTCCATAAGTTACCTTAGTTTCTCTATAACGTTAATTCCACAATCAACTATTTTTCTCATATTATTTGTTGTACATTCAAAGTACTTACTTCTAACCGCAATATCTTTGTATCTTTATTTTGAAATTTACTTTTACTGGAGAGGAATTCATTTCTCTCTCAAAAAAGCTCGTTTAAGAGTCTTTTACATATGATATGCAAGCAATTAGTGGGAACTATTATCAAACACCTAAAACAGTTGATATGGCATAAAGGTATTATACCGACATGCAAAATCACTGTTCATACTTATGTCTCACGCATTGTGCCATCATATAATATACCTCTGGTTTGCCAATTTGTTATATTATTATATAAGGACATATCGTATGTATCATAAAATATTTAAATATTTTCCACAAACTTCATTCATTATATAATCTGCGGTCGAAACATGTACCTACAATTCCTAACAACTTGTCTCTTGCACAGGCTTTATAACAACTTTCCTTACCAAGTTTAAAAGAGGCGCATGCGCGCATTTTGAAATTATTCTTAAATTGATTTGCGCCACAAAGAAGTTCCTTTCTTTTTTTCAAAGTAATCTTTTGTTACTGTATATGTTAATGTGCCATTACAGGTAATGTTCTTTATAAGTACATTACAATAGACAAGACATTAACAGTTAAAAGGAACCCTTTCTAATATAACGTATGTGCGGCTGTGGTTTATAATATCTATTCAGTGGAAAAAAGTAAATAAAGTATATCTATAATATTGTATTTTAAAATATTTGCGCTAAACTTCTTCTCTCACTATATATTTATGTGTGTGTTTTTATGTATATATTTCATTGTAAATGACGAAATTGAACAGGCAAGGATTTATAAAATCTGGAAATATTATAAAAGAATTACAGTATACGTTTATACGTCAATACGTATATGTCAATAATGAAACTAAATTTATTATAATGCTATGACGTTATTATATTTCTCATGCAAGGTATTGTATGTTACACTGACATGCTTTATTCTACGGCAATAGTGTGACCGCTATTGTTTTGTTTATATGACGCCCATACTTGTTACAGAGGTTATCTCCGATATTTGTTGTTTTTTTTTTTGCTTTTCCGGCACATGAACACAATTAAGGTCATATGGAGCAACACCAGGAGACAAAACCATTTCACCTGCTACAGCTAAGAGACTCGAACAAATTTAGTCGTCTTTAACTATCACCCGGGGATAAACAGTGGCTACAATTCTGGTTCCTCAACTCTTAAAGGCAAGCCTCAGCCACAAAGAAGTATTTCCGAAAAGCAGACTTGAGAGTGAGTCAAATTAATTCCAAAATTTCATCTCAATCAAGCAACAGAAATAAACCTTTTTATGTTTAAAAAATCGAAGCTAAACATCGTAAATCTGTATTGTCGATTAAGTAATTAGCAACATGTTTGCAAAACAAACCTTTTTAAAAAGTCATAAATTTCTATTTCATCTCCTATTTGAACCCTTCTTTTACGGTAAAAGCCGCAAACGCAAGCATGTAGGTCATGTTTTGTCTGTTAATTAGCATACTAAGCGCTGCATTTTTATATTTTGGACATAATCTTCAATTTGAGATGAACATTACGTCATACAGGTAGTAGCATAATTATAGAGCATTATGGGTAAGCTAATTATAATCATTATTTGTTGAATAAATAATTAAATGGAATAAATATATGATTAAGTTGGTTCTTGATAAACACTTTGGTCGTCTTTTCCTGGAATGAGGAAATTGTTTAACAAACAATAGCTTTTAATAACTTGAAGGTGTGTTTTTATTAAAACAATTGACATTAAATTTGGTAAATGTGATACTCAAATTGAAAAATAACAGAAAAATTATATATATATTTTTTTTTTTACTTCAAATAACATTTTTATTTTAGATGACGTAAAATATTTGCTGTTTTTGATAACTGGTGGGAGACGCTGGTCTGTATAATACTATATTCAAATTTACAGGACAACAACAAGAAAAAAACAACAGCATTTACTGTATGAAGCATGTTTATTTTTCAAATCTTTCAAAGAACCTAGTGTTGGTATAGAAATAAGAAAAAACGGCCTTGCAATTTTTGTAAAGATATAGATTTTTCGCTTTTGACATTTGCCTGACCGACAGGCATTTTATGCCATTATCTATGTTTCTTTTTCTGCAACCTTTGTGAAAGAAAAAAATTATCAACTGTTCATTAAAGAACTAATTTTGTAAGATTTACTGGTTGCCAGTCTGAGTGCGTGGACCAAAGGATTAGCTAGGCATAAAAAAGAAAGCACAACATTTACCTGCTAAAAAAAAACAATAAACATCAAACATTAGGTTATCTGATTTTCTACTACCGGCTAGCTTCAAGTCTTTAGCTTCTTGTTTCATGTTTTTTTTTTCTTTGTCGTGTAGTAAACGAAAAGGGGACGAATATATTAACGTTTGACGTGAGTTTGACGGACGTCATGTTTTACTTTTCCATCGTTAGGTAATCACAACTACGGACTTCCTCGGGCAACCTTTCTTAACTTACGACCATGACAATCCTCCACATTGCGCCAATACTTCTCTGGGTGGTTGATGGTATTTTAATTGTGCATTTGCTAACCTAAATTGACACTATTTCAAGCCACGAACAAACACTCCGTCTGAAATGGTATACTATGATTTTAAAGCCTATGAATCGCTTAAGAGAATGATGTTCCGACGAATCTAAACCTAATACCGGATTAAAAACAACCGGATTAAAGCTATATGGATATTATCAACTTAGCAAACATTGTTAACCATGATTCATTATGAATAAAAATATTTACAAATGTAACAAAATATTTGTGTTAAGTTTCAATATTGAATAAAATGATATAAAACATAAACAAGTGCTGTTTGTGGAAAGCACCCTCCTTTGTCTAAAAGACAACAGAGAGAAAGGGGCATTATTCTTCAATCATAGCCTAACGCACATTTAAAAATAAATATTTCAAATTTGAAGATAATACGTTTAACGATTTCTGAGGTAAAGAAAAAAAACAAAAGGGAAATAATTTAGCAATAAAGGCTTTTATGATTATCTGTCGTTTAGAATTTCATTTCAAATTCAATAATTAGCATGTACTTCAAGTTGAAAGTGAATACATACTAGAGAAATGTACCTTAACAAAAAGATTGACCAAGAATTGTGAAGTAAAATAATGGGGCTTACAGGCGCAAAACTGAGAAAAATAAGTTGTGTGCTAATGTGTCCTTAAGAAAGGCACTAAATAAAAAGCGGGACATTCCTTTGCAAAAAAAGTAGGATATTATGCACATTTAAAATGATGTTTATTAAAACAAAACTCAGCTTGAAGTGATTTTTTTGAAGTTTCTGAGAAAACGAGCCTAAACGAGAAGGTGAACAAACACCCACTCTGACGACGACGTCAACGCCAATGCCGTTTTTCTTCTTTAAGAGCTGAATAAATAATCAAACTTGAATAATCTTTTCAATAGGAAAAAGTTATGTTTTGCTTGACAAATCTTTTGTTTTTTTTTAAACATAAATGATAGCTCTAAAAATTTAGACAGATATTAAATGTATAACTGTACAATGCTTACGTTTACGTTTAGCGGCGCCTACAAAAAGCGGTAGGTTTAGATTTTGTTTATAAATTCTTGCATAAATTCTGCGCAAGCGGATGGATTGTCGTGACTTGCATGTTTATTTTTTTATTGAAATAACGCAGTACAGTATCATTAGAAGCTTGCAGAACTAAGGATCAAAAACTCGACAAATTTATCTTTTTCGCCTATTTTTAAATTTTTTCATTCATTATCTCATATAAATCGATGTGAAACGATTAATTAGACGTTTAAAGTTCATTCCGTTGGGTTAAAAGTCGAAATTTTAGCATTAAATCATTCATGCGCCTTGTCTGGTATATACCGGAATACGCTGTGCGGCTCCGATCAGTCTCACTTTATTTTTATATGCGTGAATCACGCAATTAATTTAACAACAGCTTAACGCAGTGACCGGTATTTTTATTATGAGATCCTGTAGCTCAATTTTCTTATGGTTTTATATCAAAAATATAATGCTTAAATGAAGATTTATAAATATTGTAAATTTCAAAAAGCATTATTTAAAAAGATATTACCGAATTTACATTTCATTTTTATAAAAGAAGGTAATTAGAAATTTATTTTCTATAAAGTCTAAGTCTAATGTTTCAATAAGAAATGAATGCATATATTTTAATGATTACATATAATGAGGACAAATATTTGCAGTACATATGTAACATATTCTTCGATGTTTGAAAACTATTTAAGAAGCAATATTATATTTCACTTAAGTGTGGTAACAACCTTTATTATAACATACAGGATTTTTAACTGTCAAATTACATCATATTAGCATATTGAAAGAATGACACATATAATGATATCTTTATAAAGACAAAATACAGATGTACAATTTAATCGATTTTTAATTTTCTACAAATGCTAGAGAAATAGTTTATTGTTATGTTTGCAAGAACGGAGAAACTATAGAAAACAAAATTGACGCCTGAAATAATTAATTGAGTCCTTTTTAAACCGAACAAAAAAATTGTATGCAAGATATTTTGTTCCATAACACACGTCCTCATCCTTCAAATTGAATTTCTTTAACATTAAAAAAACATTTCTCTCATTACTTATGAAGATATTTTCTTCTTGTTAATATAATGTATATGTCTTACATAAAAAGAAGACATTCTGCATATTGTATAAACTAAGCAACTATATATTTCATGTAGACGTTTGTTTAACATTTAAAGACCACATTTATAGATATATGTCAATTAAAAGAATTAAAAATACTAATTGCAGAACATTGTTGCTTTGTCCATTTTTATTGTCGATTTATGCAGTAAATTTTTTGAAGAAAATTTTCTTTTTCAGGCTATTTATTCTCGGACTGATAATAATCTAAATTAATGCTTTAACCTAGTGTCTCTCCATTATTTTAATAAAAAATTCTAAAACGTAGAAAACAAGAGAACAAACCATTTTAAAAAAGATTATGATGTCCTAATATCTAGAAAGGAAGCTATACACACGATAGAGTCACTGGATTTATGATTATAATGCTAACAGATTGGATAAAAGTAACACAAAGAAAAAGTAAAAAACAAGTCATCAACAGCACATTTCAAAAGTCCAATTAATATTCCCTTGGAGTTACGTAGTCTGGATTTGGACTAGGAGATGCCTTCATTCTCGCACGAGGAATGTGATAGTGTCCATCATTCTGAAGTAAAAAGAATATGTTTTTTTTTTCAAAATAAGGAAAAGGACAATTGATTGAAAACACATAACTTGTAAATTGGCAGCTTTTAAACTTCTTAAAAAAATGCAAATTTATGACGCAATATCTCTAGACGCTTGACAGAAGTGGTGATAACATGTACAACGAATATTTATATTTATTTTTCATTCATAATCGTATTTAAATCGGTGTGAGGAGATGGATAAGCCGTTTTAAAGTACTATCTAAGCATTTAATTATTCAAGCATTTACCTTGTTCGGTAAATATACCGAAAAAACGATATTTAGTGTTGCTCTCCAACACATCCTAATTTTTTCATCAAATGATGGTTTTCTAATTAATCTAATGATATATTTGTATTCAAAACATCTTGTTCTTCATAGGATTGTCAAGTACCTCATGTTTTTCCACATGAAATATCGAAACACAGTACCCGGTTGAGGTTACTGCGTTTAGTTTAAGTTGGCTAGTCACGTCAAATATTATCGTGGTAAGAAAAAAATCTTCATAATCATATCAATCTAAAAATCAGATTTTTCCCTTTGATATACAAACATTCTTCTTTTCGTATAGTTAACTAATACGTCATGCTTTGTACGAGATTTGAATCGAATGACCAAGCTTTAGTTTTTTTGTAAATGTATCTTACTCTGGAATCATTGCCAGATGCCATCGTGAATCTTGAAGCTATCGATTTCCAAGTCATATACTTAGATTCGTTGTCATCGCCCTTATCTCTGATATTTGTCGCTTTCAATACAAAAAGTTACGTTTATAAATAAACAAATAAGGAAATTACATTTTTATACAATGACATGCTCTTTATAAGCAAATTTTAAATAACCGAATACAATGCAGTTTTCTTATTCAACACGAATACACACGTACAAAGGCACACACAGACATGCACACGCATACACAGCTTTGTATTTTTATAGTATACACAAAATAAAATACAGGTGAAGTCTGCGTTCTGTTAACGTTGTAAACCCTTTTTGATCATATAATTAAACAAAATGACACCATACAAAATTCATACACTCGACAAATTACCTTCCATAATCCAACAACCCACCCTGCTGCAAACTAACAAATCATACTTTTGATGGAAGTTTAAAAAATTAAAACACTATGCAAGTAGGCAGAACATAGGTTTATAAAATTAATAAAACTAAAACAAAGCAAAGTACAAATGAATGCAAATACTTCGCATATTGAAAATGAACTATAGTCATCAAACATACTAGCTGTTTTCAAAGATCTAAAAGGTGCTCTCATTTACATTAAGTCTGAAATACAGCCTTTGAATCAATTTTATAATAAATACAGAAAATGTAAAATAGTTTACTAATTTAAAGTACAGTAGTTGAAGGGTAGCTCTGTGTAAAGAAATTACCGTACCCTTGGTTGATTAAAAGGTGATTAAATTCGTTTTGTATAAACAACAAATAATACTTGTCTTACCGGTCTGCCAATCTAACACGTTGTAGATGTTCCCCTGTCGGCTGTTTATATTTTCAAGTTTCATTCCCATGTCAGAAGCACTAGTAAGCCTGTTATATTAATTGCTTGATTTAAGATTCCAAGAAAATGTTAATGTGGTAGTCAATGACGTAAATATATTGCGGTTCGTTATTTGTTTAAACTCGTGTGTACAGGTGTAATACTGGACTTAATGAAAAATACCTTTATAAATATAGGTCCATAACACCTCGAAACAACCAACTCAATAAAATGCGGAACATTAAGTCTTGTTATGAAGCAACCCAAAAGAGACGAATTGTTTTTTACTCTTGACAAAACATTGCAGGGGTTGTTTCTTACAAAATCGAACTAATCTAAAAATAATTGTTGTTTAAATTAAAAATTAACAGCTTAATAAAGTATAGGCAATGACATACTCCCTTTGCATTCTGACGTCCTCCTTCTTTCTTTGTTTTCGTTGTCTGAGACACATTATCACAATAATGATGAGCAACAACAAAATGAAGCAACCGCATGACACTCCTATTATCAATGCAAGGTTTACTGCAAAAAACATTATTCTCAGTTTTTAAGCATATTTGTATACACTTATTTAAAACTTTTTTCTATATTTTGAATCCAACTATAGTGATAATGTATAGTCTATGCTTTATAAATATGAAAATATTTATTTGAACAGCATTTATCTTTAAATGAATAAATGTTTAAACATATAACACTCACCTTTTGTTTAAGAAGTACTTTGTCATAGGTTTAAATTAAATTATTGAAATACTTACCAGCAATATATTTTTTCAAATTTTCAGTAATTTTTTTTTTTTGCAAAATTAAATCAGCAAAAATAAGTACTCACCCTCAGAGGTACTTGTTCTAAAATGAGATAACACACGAGTGAGCAAATGACTATTTGACGTACATTTGACGTACTATTTGACGTACTATTTGGATAACAAATGTATATTGACGATTCTAAATGTGTCAAACGTTGTTTGGTGTATCGTATTAAGGAGAAAATATCTTGTTTTTCGTCTACCTTCTACATCTAGTTGCAAAACAATGAATAATGAACGTTATTAAAATCTTCCTTTTTTAAATGAAGTTATAGTTTTTCTTGCTTTATTTTATACAGAGCAATTCATATGGTAGTGATCAATTTTGATATGCAGCGTTGAAATGGTGGTTAAGATAATGGAAATAAACGTTTTCAATGTTTACCTGCAAACTGGTCTTTTGTTTTCAACTTCGCATTTGAAACCGTCTGCACATATTCCTACAGTCTCCACATATACATCACATGGTTGCTTACCTTTCACGTTTACTGAATAAAATTGAATAAAAAATTTAACTTCAGTATAAAATTGTAGACATCCAATTAGACACTACTGCTACTGCTACTACTACTTCTGCTACTACTACTTCTGCTACTACTACTTCTGCTACTACTACTACTACTACTACTACTACTACTACTACTACTATTACTACTACTACTACAACAATCTCTACTACTACTACTGATATCATACTACTACTACAACAACAACAACAACTTCTACTACTACAACAACAACAACAACAACAACAACTACTACTACTTCTACGACTACTACTTCTTGTACTACGACTACTACTACTTGTACTACGACTACGACGACGACGACTACGACTATTACTACCACTACCACTTCCGCTGCTATTACTACTCCGTCACCTCCTCCATCAATATTACTAGAACTATATAGAATATGATATAGTATACAATTTCAACCTACTTTAAGCGTTATTGTTTAGCACGGTTTTTAAGGCTGTGAAAAAAGTCATTTTATTTCCAGTCTTTGAATATCGTTAAATTTGTACAGCTTGACGACAATTTTTGCACACTATCATACCTGCTTTAACAACGACTGTATGCCCGTCAAATTTAAGATCTGCTCCTTTTGAAATATCCATAGTAGCGACTGTCAGCTCAGAAGCTACACTTATATCATCTTCTTTGTAAATCACTGTATAATCAATTTTTAACTCCTTCATTGTGCTACGGCGAACGGTTTTACCGGAACTAAAAAAATTATAAAAATTCAAAACAATTTTATAATATTACATTTATTTATTTACTACTGCATTACATCAATCTAGAATCAAATTATTTTAGTATAAGGAATAAAAGAAAATACACGTATATATTAAACAATTATAAATAAAAAATTTAATAATTCAATACAATTCTAAATTATTATTTTATATACACATACTGAATTACATGAACCTAGAATAAAAGTATTACATAAGGAAAGAAAGCAAATTCATGCATGACATGCAATACATGTATTAAGCAATTATAGATAGAATTTTTATTTTATGCAAATTTTATCTAGAATCTTTGGACACATTCTTATTTTTAATATATGTGAATTCATTTGAATTAAATGCAGGGTGTGGCTTAAACAAAGTTCTCCTATATGCAAAATATTATGGCATTCATGTTGCAGGAAAAATAGTTATTTTATTGATAAAATAATTAAAAACATAATCCGATCTGTCAGTCACTGCGTAACATACTTATTTTAATTCATGCCAATTCATTTGAAGGTGTGTACAGGGTGTGGTTTAAACAACATTCGTCTATATGCAAAAGATTATGACATTTATGTTGCAGGAAAAAAAGTTATTTTATTGATAAAAGAATTAAAAAAAATAATCCAATCTGTCAGTCACTGCGTAACTGATATAAATGTTTTCTTCACCTGGGTAGAACTGAATCAACAATATTTAGTTGTAACTAAGGTTCCATTCCTCTACTAAAAACAGTTTTAAGGAAAAGTTATATGTATAGGTCTTACTCTCGATCAGTCTTTGTCTAGTGAGTTAAATGGAAAATTCTGTTTCTTAAAAGGCCGAATGTAAACGTCCTACACAATAAACTAGATTATTTCACATTACATTAGAAACTTTTGATTCTGTGTCATTTTAATTATTCATGTTAAATTTTTGGTTTCATTGTCTTACAGAATAAATCAATATGGTTCGAATTTAATCTTGCCCATAGGTCACATATTAGTGATGTATCACTTAAGGGTTTAAAATCGGTTAGAAAAAAGGTACAAATTACCCACTGAACAATATATTGATGAAATATGTGTTCCCTATCTATTCATAAATAACTAGGTGAAATAAATGTGGGGGTCAAAGGTTTTTGTGCAATATCATTTGCATAAAATAGATGTGACCTGTGGAAGTAACTTTCCTCTTCTATCAGGAGCAAAACAATGTTGTATTACTTTTATTTTGTCAGCAAAGGTAATTTGTCCTTAATGTGTAATCATTTCTTTTAATTATTTCTTTTATTTAAAAAAATAGTTTTTTCCTACTGGGAATGTGTTCTCCATTACATGCTTCTCATTGTTAGTACCCTCATTACCTTAGAACAACAATGAAAATAAATTATTTCGAACCTGTCTGTGATATATTTAGTATGATGTCATTGATGTAATTGTAGTTTTCATACATGTTTAATTGTTTTATCATGCACTGGATATGGTTTTCCAAGTTATTGCATAAAAACGGATTACAGAAATAAATCTTTCAATCCATCTAAAGTTTAATAACTTACCTGGCAAACGTTATATTTCTGATCAAGATCTCAATGTCAGCCTTTGTATACTGACTATAAAACTCCCTTAGCTAGAAAAAAACCGAAAAACAAACAAACATTATATCCATTTCTTTATGTGCTCTCTCATACGAAAAGATAAACTAAGAAAGATAACATAAACAGCAGAATTTTGGAATTGCTTTTCTTAATTTAGTCATAATCCTAAATGATATCACCTAAACATCAAGGACTTAACACAAACACTAAGTATATGAAATTGTTATTCAGTAAATTAATATATAACAGTTCAAGTAGACAATAAAGGAATGAAGTGTGCAAGACACAAACACTCTCTGCACATACATTGACATCAGTAAATTGACCACAATATATGTTACGTTACAGTCATTAAAATACAGGAAATGGGAAAGAAAACGATTTTTACAAGTAAACTGGTAAAAAACAATTTAACAACACTGCCGAACATAAAATAAATAATAAAAATGTATATTTCAATTAACATATATATTAAATTAGTAACAGCAACTTTTTTATTATAGTTTTATTTACATTTGAACATGACAAATTTACTCACACTTTCAGCGGCAAATGGTTTCAGTTCTTCAGGGTCTGTTTTATCAGAAACGTCTACATTCAGGTTCACCGTAAGGTCTATCATGATAGGCGATTCTACAAGACAAAAACATTATCTCAATTTTCTCTCTTACAATAAACAACATTATTCTAATAGATGATTAGAGTCATTGGGAGTCATTGATAGACATAAAATGTACATCTGCATGACAATAAAGAATGGACCTACAAATAAATGCAGTGCTATTTTTATCTATTGTAGTTATGTCTTAAGTAAAGATTATCAAATGTTACTGTTTTCTTTTATATCTCAAATCAAAATCGGTTATTCAAAAACAAATTTTAAAAAAGTCTATTTGTTAACAAAACGTTTTGTTACACGAATTCATTGGCATTCAGTGCAATTTGAGCCCGCCTGCTAACAACAGGTTTTAATTTATTTGCATTCTATTAATTCTAATTATTACAATATTTTCATTTCATCCGGAGTGTTTCACTTTTTTGACGTTGGCAGACATTATTTTAACTGTTTAATAATTTTCATAAAGCTTCAAAGCTGGAAAAAAAATTAAGTGATTCCATCAGGTTTTGAACGCAAAAGGTGATTTCATTCCATAAAAGATAAATAGCGGTCTTACTTTACTGTACTATATAGTCAAACAAAGACTGTTTAAATAACTTATATTGTAATAATTTAGTTAATCACTTGCAGTTTAACTAGGCCTTTTCTATCATAAGTTGTTTGTCTTAAAAAAACTGTGCTTCTACTTTCAAAACTTACTTAAGTTTAGTTTAACTATCTAGCTTCTTTATTTCATACATACTATTACGTGTGTCTTTATCAACTGAATTGAGAATGAAAAAGTGTTTCGATTCTAGAATATATCTTAAATATAAATCTAATAGATAAATATACCCTTAATGCACACTATTCCTGGATACTCTTTGTAACCATGTTCACATTTGCAGGAATATCCGCCGTCATAATTGATACAGACGGTGTTATCTTTATCTTTACATGCCGCTTTGTCCTCACATTCATCAACGTCGTCACTGCACGTATCACCTTGCCAATGTGACTGACACATACATTTGCCTGTGGCAGTGTCACAAGTTTGTATTACGTTAGCAGAATGTTCCCCGTTACAACGGCAGGTTTCCGAGCAGTTTACACCGAATTTATTGTTCGTACAACCTTTAACGTAGAAAAATACAAAAATAATTTATCTTTTTTTCTAAAAGGGACAGAACAATTAAACATAACATAGATATGTATGTTAATTTGTAAAAAGCAAGTTGAAATTCAACAAACAAAACATGAACATAAAAATGCTGGAAAAAAGACACTTCTTTGGTGGCAATGAACACAGAATATCGTGAAATCAAAGACTTGCAAAGACATTGTTGATGAGAAATATTGAAAGATACAGCATTTCTTGTGACTCCTAATACTAGCCTGATCTGTATTTACTCATCAATTCCATAGGACATTAAAATAAATGATGAGCAAACATCGGAATGAAGCTTGCTTTTAAAAAAATGCAAGACAGTTTCCTAATTGAATCACAAATGGTTTTGTCCGATACCAACAAATGAGATTTAATACTCACGCGCACATTTGTTTTCTATCTCTGCAAAACCAATGTCACATTTACACTTATAACTTCCAGGAATGTTTTCACAGACGTCTAGTGTACAAGGATTTGATTCACACTCGTTAATATCTGTGTGAAAGATCAATGTCATGATGTATGAAAAGTGTATCGGTAAAAGTAACTAGAAATATACATTTGATTGTATTTAATCTCATCTTTTGTTACAGTAAAGTGATACGTAAGGATCATTCTCTTACCTCTTTAATCGTATGCCTGATTCTAGTATTTTTAAGTATGTGGTATTTTTAATAAAATGTACTATTTCATCGATATTCAAAGTTTATTAAACAAAGTTTTACACATTTGAATAAAATCATGGAACACATTTTGCAAAGTTACTTTACATTTATTTGCGAAAAAATATAAAAAAACAAACAAAAGAAACAACAACAAAAAACACAAATAAATGAAAAACTTTTAAACGTTTTTACTATATGAGGCTTAGTATAGCACAAAAGTATTCGATTTTTTAAAATAATTTTGACTATTATTCTTCTTAATCTAATGTATCTTTCCATTTGAAGTGCCATCGTTGATCTATGTAAGAAATTCAAATTAAGGCTTTTGGACTCCAGTAAAGTTTCGTTTTAGTTATTACCGAAAATGCCTTCGATATGTTTTTTTTCGAAAACGTTATCTTTTGTTTACTTAAATACTTGTGAGATTTAAAAGAAGAAGAATGAAATAACACATTTAATTTTCATAAGTAATGGCTAATCACGAATGATATTTTTCAATTTGAAAAAGCTAATATTTACTGCCGAAAAGCCAACATGGTGTGGCTTATAAAAAATACAATAGCAAATACTACCTTTGCATAATCCTTTGTAGTCCATTATGAAACCAGAGTTGCATTTGCAGCTGTAACTCCCTACACTATTTTCACATTTTGAGTTTTCAGGACAGATGTCACTGTTACTTGTACATTCATCTTTGTCTTTCTCACAATATTTGCCTTCCCAGCCTTGATGACAAATACATCTTCCATTTACGTTATCACATTTGTTTGTATTTGTTGTGTTACAAGAGCATTTGTGTTTACATCCCTCTCCAAACATCCCGGCTGTACATTCTGAAAAATTTCAACAATTTATCAAAAGCTAATAGAAATTTTAGGTCCTCCATGTTCTACTTATTTACACCAAAACGATATAAACGGTGTGTGTTCCTCTCTATAATATATTCCAATCAATCATGCAAAAGTGTTGTCCTTCGGCATCTGACGATACTTTTATAAAATGAAGAGTGTTCTTATTTGGACTTTTGAATTACGTCACACACAAAAAGGGTGGTTTTAACATTTAATTAAAATTTTATAAGCCCTCACAGCTGAAAAAATCGCAAACGATTCTATTAGAAATTGAAATAAAAGACACATTGTCCAATTTAGTGTTAACACGTATTAGGTTAATAGTATTTTGGAATGTTATGTAACATCATGACCTATGCCTTAGATGAAATGTGAGGCTTTACAAAATATTTAATAAGTAATATTGTATGATATTTATATAAGGTTAACTACCCTGGCATGTTATTCCAT